TTATAATGTTAACAGAACATAGATTGTTTTAAGAATCCAAAGAAGGCAGATGTATGCCTAATGTGTAATGTAAAGAAATACAATTTTTGTTATTGTTTTGAAATGAAACCTCATCTTTGAATTTTAGAATATGTGCACCACCCTGAAAAATTGATGATTCAACTTTTTTTTTTATAGTATAGTTTAAGCTATAGTTAGTCAATTATTGCTAAATATAGTTAAATTTTTAATAGCATAGCCTCACTGTCATTTAAAAACATAATTTTTCTTTGAAAAACTGTGTTATTTTTGAAACTGTTAAAAATTTGTTTTCAAGGATATAAAAGCATATAAGAGTAGTTTATGGGTTACAAATTAGTTTACAGCAGCACTTTCGATTGTATTTTATCAACTGTGATGAACAGCTGATCCATATCTGATTTGCGACAGCATAAACGTTCAACTTCAGAGCCATGCAAAACCATCAAAGCATCGGAACAAACTTGAGTCATAAATGGATTCAGCTCATGGACAAAAACAGAAGCAAATAATCCCTTCCTCCACCAAAATCTTTCTTAAATTGCACAGTCCCATAGCGGTAAAAGATTTCTACATTCATTTAGCAACCATGGGAGTTTTTATGTGATATACTAGTTTAACAGAGCGGTAATGGAGTAAATTTTGATGCAAGCAAAGTATCGCTAAGTTGATGATATTTCAACTGTTTGGCAATATATTTCTGTCTAAAAAAAGTGGGTAGAATGGATGAAATAATTTAAATTAAGAAAATTAGTAAATAATTTAAATTAGTGAAATTAAAAAAATTATCTAAGAAAAAATTTCCTGATAATTCCAGGTTTTCCAGGAGGGTGGCCACTCTGAGAGTCACTAAGTACCAATGATTAATTCCAATTATTATTGTTTACTTCTAATGGCAGCATAATGATACATATTTCCCGTCATTTCATTTCTTTCATGTNCAGGAGGGTGGCCACCCTGATGAGTCACTAAGTACCAATGATTAATTGCAATTATTATTGTTTACTTCTAATGGCAGCATAATGATAAATATTTCCGTCAAAATAGCACATAAATATGTGGAATTACAAAATATCCCGAAGATTTAAATTTTGGAATAAAAACAAAGGAAAATACATTGAAACCTATGTACGTTGACCGATGTGTGCTTTGTATTAGTGGTCAATTTAGACTACAGAAGGTGGTCAAACGATTAACTTATAGAATGGATGAGTCATTGATGATAACTATACAATTCAAATTTAACTATACACAACAAATATTTACTAACAAATATTATTCAAATATTTACCAACATAACTATACAAATCAAATATTTACCAACAGAACAGTAAAATTAAATATTAATATATACTTAGTTCTTAAAAAACCCTTTTTTTAAAAAATTAAAATAGGCTATAAAAAGTTAAAATGAAAAAGAAAAATTAGCATTAATGCAACAATTGTAACAATTTGTTGACAAACAGTGCTGTTAGCGATTGTAAAAAAAAATTTGTGACTGGTTGGTTTGTTGAGAAAAAATAATTAACAAATTTCTTTGAATGGGAGTACAAAAGCTTTCAGAAAAAGAATGCAATATAACATCTATTATTATTAAATTAAAACCAACTAACTTTTGGAGAATATTCTAAAGTTAAAAATACAAAATCATTTTGAATCATTTTGTCAAAATAGAAAAAAATTACCATCAAAGTATCGGAACAAACTTGAGCTATAAATGGATTCAGCTCATGGACAGAATTTAAAAACAGAAGCAAATAATCCCTTCCTCCTTCAAAATCTTTCCTAAATTGCACAGTCCCATAGCGGTAAAAGATTTCTACATTCATTTAGCAACCGTGGGAGATTTTATGTGACATACTAGTTTAACAGAGCGGTAATGGAGTAAATTTTGATGCAAGCAAAGTATCGCTAAGTTGATGATATTTCAACTGTTTGGCAATATATTTCCGTCTAAAAAAAGTGGGTAGAATGGATGAAATAATTTAAATTAAGAAAATTAGTAAATAATTTAAATAAGTGAAATTAAAAAAATTATCTAAGAAAAAATTTCCTGATAATTCCAGGTTTTCCAGGAGGGTGGCCACCCTGATGAGTCACTAAGTACCAATGATTAATTGCAATTATTATTGTTTACTTTTAATGGCAGCATAATGATAAATGTATTAGTGGTCAATTTAGACTACAGAAGGTGGTCAAATGATTAGCTTATAGAATGGATGAGTCATTGTTTTTTATTATCATTCCTTTTACCATGTAGTTTATGAATTTCTTACAAATTATAAATCAAAATAAATATAAAAGTAATCAACTTTTTTTAACATGGAATTCAAATTTCAGTTAAGGTATGTGCCTACCGTAAATTCACGTTTTCTCTAAAAAATTTCGATGTTTTTTTTATTTTTTTATCTTATAGTTTGAACTGTAAGGTTTACAAAAATGCTTCATTTTTGTTTCTACGATATTTAGAAGCAAAGTTATCGCGCAACTAATAAACCGGAAGTTCAATTTTCGATACCGGAAGTGTGCATTTGAAGGGTCGTAAAATTGTAAACAAATAGTTTTGCTTGAATTTTTACACTCTCAATGAATTAAAATGCTTACTTTTTTAAAAAGAAATATAATTTGAAGTTTCCTTAATTTATTTATTTATGTTTTATTTGCATCTGGCATCAGTTTCTTACTTAATTTCTAGTTACAAAACGGCAACATTTTTTTCTACTAGTTGTTTACATTTTTTTGCGATATTTGTGTTCTAATTTTTTCATTCTACTTGAATCTTGAATTTTGCTTTATTTTAAAGTTTACTTACTTTATAATTCATCGTAAATGGCGAAAGCAAGATCAACAAAAACTAAAAAGCGTAGATTTTGTGGAAATCGTTTCACTCAAAAAAATAACAGCATGGTTTGTAATGCAAGCTCATCTAAACTGGATTCTAGTGAAAATATGGATTTAGTTACTGCAAGTTCATCAAAATTAAACAGTACTGAAGTATCTATGGTTCATAAATCCTACTCTGAAGAGATGAAGGGCAATAGAATTATAGATATTCAAACTTTAATTTCTATATTTTCTATTCTTTGCTGTCCAGATTGTTTAACAACAGAATTGAAACTAACTGAGGACTCTAGAGAAGGGCTTAGTTCGAACTTTTCTTTAGTATGTAACTGTGGATTTTCCACCACATTCACGTCAACCCCCAAGGAAAGTAAAAAAAGCCCCTTAAATACTTTGTTGGTGTTCGGATTACGACTAATTGGTAGAGGATTTATTGGTGGAAAGAAGTTGTTGTCGACTCTGAATTTGCCATATGTTTCTAAGAGAACTTTCAGAAACCATGAAATTGATTTATTGCAAGCTGTACAGTTTGTTTCTGAAGAAAACATGAAAGCAGCTTCAAAAGAAATAACAAGATTTAAAAAAAATGAGCATGGAGAAGAAATTAAAACTTGTGGAGTTAGCGTAGATGGTACCTGGCAACGAAGAGGATATATGTCACTCAAAGGCTGCGTGTCAGCTATTTCAGTGGATACTGGAAAGATTTTAGATTTAGAAGTTCTAACGCAATATTGTAAAATATGTGAAATGCAAATTTCAAGGGACCATATATGTGCCAATTACAAAGGATCATCAGGAAACATGGAAGCTGTTGGGGCATTTAGAATTTTTGAAAGATCAGTGACAAAACGAGATCTGCAATATAATGAATATTATGGGGATGGCGACTCAAAGGCGTTTATGCAAGTGCAAAATATTTATGGGGAAAATACAGTCACCAAATTAGAATGTATCGGACATATACAAAAAAGAGTAGGCTCACGTCTGAGAAAATTAAAAAAAAATACTAAAGGATTAGGCGGTAAAGGTAAACTTACTGATAAGTTTATTGATAAACTGCAAAACTATTATGGAATTGCTGTCCGCAGCAACGTTGGTAGTCTAGAAAACATGCAGTCTGCTGTTATAGCTGCCTTTTTTCATTGCTGCTCTAGTAATAAGAAGCCTATGCATGGGCAGTGTCCAGCAGGGAGTGACAGCTGGTGCAGATATAAACGAGCTCTATGTGAGGGAAAGAATTTTGTAGAAAAATCACCGGGTCTTCCAGATTCAGTAATTAAAGTCATAAAGTCAACGTATTTACAACTTTGTGACAAAGAGTTGCTTAAAAAATGCTTACATGGCTTAACGCAAAACAATAATGAGTGTTTCAATAACCTCTTGTGGAGTATTTTGCCAAAAGAAACTTTTGTGCAACAAGAAACTTTGCTTTTAGGTGCACATATTGCAGTTTTACTGTTTAACAATGGATATTTAGGACTGCTGCCTGTTTTTAAATGTTTAAATGTACCAGTTTATCCATTGATGCTTGAAAACTATACGATGCTCGACAACGAGAGAATTCGAAAGTCGAGACGACAATCATTGCCTTCTACAAAATTATTTAGAAAAAAGCAAAAAGCCAAAAAAAAGTCAAAATTAGTTAAAAATGAAGCTAAAGAGGGTTTGACTTACAAATATGGGGAGTTTTAAAAATCTAAAGTTGGTTCAAAGCTTTTTTTTTTGGCTTTGTATTCTTTAATTGCATTTTCTGAGAAACTAAGTTTTGCGTTATTTTTGTGTGCGAGAAATGTTCTTTCTCTAAATATTTTTAAGATACTGAAATAAAATTTTCCCAAAATGTTTAACACACTTCTAGCTATGTTGTGAACTAAAATCTAAGCTTTTAGTATTATATTTTTAATTTAAATAATTTTTGTTTGAAATTGCACTTTAAAAAAAAAAGAAAAAAATGAGTTTTTGTACTAAATTTGAAATATTTCAATAACTCTTTAGGGTACTGCAAATCTTTTAGTTCACGACATAGTTCTATATGTTAGTAAGATGCTGTATAAATATTATTGGCTTATCTTTATTAGAATTTGTTTTAGAAGGTCTAGCGTAAATGCAAATTTTTGTTAAAATTTTGTTAAAAATGACCTATAATTTGAAATGAAAAAAAAATTTCAGTTAAATTATGCTTAAATTTATAGTTTTATAACCTATTTCAATAAAAAAAATTAGTGTTGCAATAAAATTTTATATATTTAAAAAAAAGTGGTCCGAAGGTAGGCACATACCTTAAAAAAATATCTTCTGCACCAACTA